AAACACCTCTTCTACGAAGCATAATTGTTTAAATATGGAGAATCTAGCTCCAAAATGACTTCTTTTTTAGTATAACTCTTCCTCTCATTATATAAATATTTGATGAGTATATATCCTATGTGTCAGGAACTAGGGACAGAAAGGCAAACAGATGGAGCTCTTCAGGCAGAGAAGAGTCTCGCGGATGAACACTAAACAGTATGTACTCACAATATTTAGTAAAACAGGCTGAGAAGGGCCAGGGGAATTCCACATTGTGGGTTTGGCAAGCATCTTGGTAGCATTAAAGAAGGCTTCCTGAAGGAAGTGTCACCTAAATGTGAAGAGGGAGCTGCCTCACAAGGAGGGGGTTAGCATGCAAGGCCAGTTAATAACAGATCATGAGACCATCAACTAATGATGGCTCTTTGAATGAATTTGCATTAGTTCTCATAGCGTTGCCTTTTAAACCATCTAGTCCACAATCAGGGCATCGTCTTTTTTTTTTTTTTTTCCTTTAAAGATTGATTTATTTATACACACAGAACTGGGATACAGGTCAGAGGTTCAGGGGGGTGAGCAGATTCACCAGAGACAGATTGGGGAGCAGAAGGCAGACTGACAAAGTACACTGCTGAGGGGAACGGGGATGAGACAGGAAAGGTCTGCTGTGCTTTGTAGGTCACTTCCCTGGGCAGGGATCGAACTTGTGCTGAAGCAGCTGCAGCTAGCTTCATAGTGCTGCACTTTAACCCACTACACAACCAGGGAGGGCCCAAGGGCATCTTCCAAACCCCAAATTTATCCCTGTTATGGTCAGCCAGAGATACAGGCTGCCCCTTTTCTACCAGGTCTCAGGTTGAAGAGAACACAGTTGCTCTGTAACCTTGAGGAATAAAAATATCTGTGATACCCTGGTGAGGGTATGGAAGAGAGGTGAAGGACATTTCAGTCTAACACCTCATTTTTCAAGAAAGGGTGAGTTGACTTGATTACTATTCTGCAGTCTGTGTTATAAATCCAGTAAAATTCCAGGCAGAAAGTAGGCTAACTCCAAGGAAATTTTCATCCATCCCCTTCATTTTTACTACT